CCCCAACACATTACTGCGCCCCTCCAGCCACTTTTTGCGAAGTACTGCTCTAGTCAAACAAATGTTAATGTAAATAACTAAACTACCTTATTAGACGGGAATTATTATTATTATTTGAGTATTGCAGTATTTTAAAGTTTTTGAGTCTTTTTTTAATCTGTATTTGAGCTTCAGTTGTTTGTGTTCCAGGCCTCCTTGCTCGGGCTTGTCTGATTATGTAGTAACTGCGTTGATCACGTGCTTGCTCACTCTGTTTATATTCATTCATTCATAGAAAACACCAAAGCTGCTTTGTCATGTGGTCTCTGTGACCGTTTCAACAATGGAAATTCTTCTCCCCACGCTCCTACATTCAGTGGCTGTGAACTCTTTGGTGGACGTTTCCAACAGTCACAGTTGGGTCCTGAAGTGCGTATGCTAGCATACGCACGCTCAGTGAACAAAGTCAACCAAGGATCCGATCCTCTATAGGACAAACACTGAGAGTTTCAGTGACAGTGGCAGGAACCTGAGGTGTGAAGCAGCTGTTTCACATTAACCCTGAGAGCCAATCAATGGCAGCGAAAAGGTCCTGGTGACTTTAATTTGCATCCGGCAAAGAAGAATCAATACCGTAGCGCTCTGAGCCACATTGTGACACAGATCTGCATTAGCAAAACAAAACGCCTTGTTCCATTAAACCGAGCGTGTCAAGAGGCGTTGAGATAACAGTCATGCCAAAAGTCACAGTGGGAGCTGGAGCGCTAAAAGTTCTCCTCCAGCATGTGTCAAAGGTCACGATAAAGAGCCTGACTTCAGGACTGCTAAATGCTAATATATCCCTGAACGCCAGCATGTTGTTTGTACCCCAAAGTTTTAATACTATTGAGAACCTGATAACATGTATATTTTTATCTGTACAAACCACTGTATGAGTTGCTGCCACCTAGTGACTGGAGGCTTGTTATCATCATCAAGCATTACAGCAGTGGTACACTTATGTCCAGCGTGCCATATTCCATAGAAGAAGTACTGGTGTAGGCCAGGAGTTAACGGTCACATCTCGTTAGCATATATCCCATGCTCATAGTGCAGTAATAACAACGGTCTCCTAATCTATTGAACACATGACGACATAAGACGTGATCTTCTGATATATCTTAGTGACAGCTCTGTACTGTACTATTCACTACTATACCAAACCGGACAATGAGACTATACTATACCACATGACTTTGTACTTTATTATACTAGACAAAGGAAACATTCAAAATTCATCAAGTGGGCCGCATTGAAACCCACAATGGGCCGCTTTTGGCCCACGATCCGTATGTTTGACACCCCTGGTATATGTTTATGACTCTGTACTATACTGTACCATAATATACTATACTACACTGTACTGTACTATGCAGAGGTGTGGACTCGAGTCACATGACTTGGACTCGAGTCAGACTCGAGTCATCAATTTGATGACTTTAGGCTCGACTTGACAAAATGTAAAGAGACTTGCAACTCGACTTGGACTTTAACATCAATGGCTCGTGACTTCACTTGGACTTGAGCCCTTTGACTCGACAAGACTTGATACTTTCTCCAAAACCCAAAGTGATCTGTGTAAATATATTATTATTTTGTTTAAAAGGACTCGAAACAGAAACGGCAGGACTTGGGACTTGACACTTTTTAGTCTTGACTTGGACTCGACTTGGACTTGAGTGCAAAGACTTGAGACTTACTTATGACTTGCAAAGCAATGACTTGGTCCCACCTCTGGTACTATGTGACAGCATACTTTATTGTACTGTATTATGCACCCTACTTTACTTTAAGATATACGATATTAAGGAATACTATACTATACTTTTTGTACATGGCACGTGTCTACCGTATCTTCCCATTTGTGCTTAAGGAAAAGTTAATTTTCGTATTTTATTGAAACACCTGATCCATATTTGTAAAATGACTTGTCAGGGTCTTTTTTTTTTCTTCTCCTGCTGGTTTTTCATTTCACTCTTGGTTTTCAGTGTCACCTTTGGAACTCGTGCCTAATTTAAAACCTGGCAGAAAAATATTTGCCTCATATCATTACATGCTTAGTGTCTGGGATTGCCCCCTCCCCTGTCCTGCTTTTGGCACGCTGCCCTGTACTGACCCCTCTCGCCCCCCCTCCTCTCTCTCTCTCTCTTGCCCTCCACATGCATAGCTGGACTGGTGGGTGTAAAAATAGCCGGGATGGGAGGTGGTGGAGCTGAGAGGAGATGTTAGTCAATGGTCACAGTTGGAATTAGCAACGAGCAAAAAGCCAGCGCCGTGCTGCTCTGCCAGTAGTAACAGGACACAAGTCCAGTCAAGTGGTTAGGTGTTGAGGACAGGAGCCGGGCTTAGGCTCCAGGGAGGTAAGGTTTTGGCTTGGACTGAGGGGATCGGGACCCCCAGGAAGATGGTGATGGAGGTGGATTAACAGTCTTGTTTAAAATCTAACTTAGATTCCTTTCACACTCTGATGGGATAGACCCCAATACCCAGCATCATGGGCAACGCGGCCATGTGTAAGGTGTGTGGGTCGGACAAGGGTCTGAGGACATTAGGGAGTCAGTCCAACCCGGACCTGAAATCCCCACCGGAGTACTACTGTCCGGACCATTTCCCAGTGCAGCCAGCGCTTACAGTGGTAAGAGATTTACAACGGCAGGTGCGACACTGCAACACGCTGTTATTATTTTATTCGACTAATTTTGAATGACAGTTATTGGCAGACGATATGATGATACGCGCATACATTAAATGTGTGGAAACGGAACCGCTTGGAAGTCGGCGTCAGGTGCTGCTTTTAAATCCGCAGTTATTTTTATTGTAGTCACATGTTTAGCTGTCACAGGGCTGGAGAGTGGCTCCGCTGCTGTACAACGTGTTGTTAGTCACGTTAGCATTTCGCTGATACATACAGTATGTTTACAACCACACTGTACTGCGAAAACTGTACATTGCTTTAAGTAACAAACAGAAAAGGTAAATAAATAAATCACCCACTACTGTGTTTACAGAGAGAGCTTATCTTATGTGTTGAAGTCTGGGGGGGGAGCGAGGGAGCGAGGGAGGGAGACTAGTTGTTTGAGCGAGCTCCCACTCCTGTTCCTCTCCCTTTAAAGGCCGGTGTGACATTTTTGTACCTCTGCACAGCTGCGTGTGAACTCTGGAGGCTAATTTGAAAAGCTACATAATGACTTTAGCAGCATGTCAGTGTTGCCACTTGAAATATGGAACAAAACGTGTCACTCGCTTACTCTGGGTTTTCTACCAGCAAAAGAACCAAAATGTATGTCAGTGGGCTGACCGCATTTTGACTCAGCCTAAAAAAAGGGGGGGGGGGATGTAGTTAAAGATGGCAGAAGTGAGAGGCGGATGGACGTCCATCTGAAGGTCAAATGTCTCGCATATCTTGATCCAAACAAGTAATGATTTGATCTTGTTAACTTTGTTGACATTGGAGAAGTTGCACAATTAGAATTATGCTTAGGAAGCCGGAATGGTCTCAAGTTTATTTGTATCTATTTTGTTTCCTGTGAAAACCAAGGACTTTGTCTCTTGTTCTCATCTTGCCATCGTGTCAAGAGTTATTTTTTTACAGCATTAAATATTTGGAACTCACATGTTCTCATGTAGGCCTTCAGTGACATCCTGCCTGTATTAATCCATATCTTTATGATATCATTACATGTATAGGAACCATCCATAGAAAGAGCAGAACAGGAGAGATGTAGGGTCGTTACTTCCATGCTAACTCATGTAGCCATGATAACGTCAATACTACTGTGAAGCAACAAACTCATCAATACGCATCAATAAAAACATAATTTACTGCAATACTATTAAAAACTACTCACTACTCAATTACTCCACTTCTAGCAACAAGAACTTTCATGTCTCTATCCATGCTAATGCTAAAAGTCCTGGTGTATTGATGGCGTAAGTTTCAATTCACTTAAGGCTGAGAACGTCCTCTTAATTTTCGAGCATGCACGTCGCTAGTTGCAGTTTAGATTCGAGACTGTGTTCTCTGACCATCCAATCAAATCGCCAATGGAACTCTGGGCCAGTTAGAAGGCCTTACTACGCCAGCTTGATGCCAACTCAACAACTGATTGGTTAAAGAAACAATCTCTTTGCCATTCGTTTTAGGCTCCAGGCGCCACACTACTGATTCTAAAGGCCTTAGGTCAGATTTCTTTCAACGTACAACACATGAGGCTGAAATATGAAAATATCAAATATCATGGCTACCCTTTTAAAACTACACATTAAACATGTCCTTAAACAGGGGTCTCTAAAGACATGGAAAGTGTTTGTTTAATCCTAATAAATCTGTACGATACAGTAGGTCAACTCCCTTTAGACTTCTCACGTCTGTTTTTAGACAGGACTATTCTTGTGTGGTCTACGCCCTCACCTACGACCTTTGACTGCTCCCTACCCATATTTCTACGTAGCTTATCAGGGCCTTCATTCATTGACAGTGTGCTGCTACTTATGTTTGTATTTTATTGTGTTTTACCTGTTTGTGTTTTTACTGTTGTTTTAGTGCTGTACTGTTGTTTAAATTTCTATCCATCCATCCATCCATCCATCTATCCATCCATCTATCCATCCATCCATTCATCCATCCATCTATCCATCCATCCATTCATCCATCCATCTATCCATCCATCCATTCATCCATCCATCTATCCATCCATCCATTCATCCATCCATCTATCCATCCATCCATTCATCCATCCATCTATCCATCCATCCATTCATCCATCCATCTATCCATCCATCCATTCATCCATCCATCTATCCATCCATCCATTCATCCATCCATCTATCCATCCATCCATCCATCCATCCATCCATCCATCCATCCATCCATCCATCCATCCATCCATCCATCCATCCATCTATCCATCCATCTATCTATCCATCTATCCATCCATCCATCTATCCATCTATCCATCCATCCATCTATCCATCTATCCATCCATCCATCTATCCATCCATCTATCCATCCATCTATCCGTCCATCTATCCGTCCATCTATCATCCATCAATCCATCCATCCATCCATCTATCCATCCATCCATCCATCTATCCATCCATCCATCTATCCATCCATCCATCCATCTATCCATCCATCCATCCATCTATCCATCCATCCATCTATCCATCTACCTATCTACCTATCTATCCATGCCTGTTGTCAAACACACATTAGCTTTGCTAATATGTTTTTATATATTGTATATTAAATCTTTATTCGGGTTCTGTGCAGTTTTCAACTGAAAACAGACCTTGAGATCTTGACGGCTATTTCTGATCAGAAAATGTACTGAGACTTAATGCAGTTTGATGGGACATACGTTCCTTTCAACATGGCATCAGCAGTAGTGTCAGTGTGAGGTGGTGCAAACATCCCAAAGAGGCAGAGACAGTGTTTCGTTAATTACTGCAGGAGGCGACTGTGGTTTTCACCCCTGGGCTATAAATATAACATAAAAGAGCCATAAATAGTTTGATTATTAAGTACTGTAACATTTGATGCATCTGCAGTGAAGCTTTCTTTGCATAATGAAAAGTAAAAAAAAAAACTAAAAAAAAGAAGCTTGTCTACAGCAAGCAGGGTGTTCTTTTTTGTGTTCTCCTGTCTCTTTTCCAGCCTGTTTCTATGCATATTTGTTTGTGAGTCTGGTTATGATTTATTAATAGAGATTCTTCTCCTGCAAGGATTCCGGAAATTAATGTTTGATGTAGAACGTTGACTTGAGGAGGTTCCTTTGTCACGCTTCACAAGTTCATAAACACAGACAGAAAATTGATTATGATAGAAAATGTTCATATGACACACTAATGTAGTAAATAAAATGTATTTAATATATATTGTAGTGGCGCTTTGGCCCAGAGGCAATGTCTCTGTCATTGGTGTGGAACCCCAGGGTTCACCTCCTGGGCAAGATCGAATCCTGGTTAGGATGGTTGGTACCTTCCACTGGACTCACCACCTGTGGGAAGGTTCAAAATTTTACTTGTGTTCAAGGACTGACTGAACAGTTATGCATTAAAAGAATAAAGGTTGGAGTTGCTTCTACGGTGCGATGACAGATTGTAAAAAGCTAAGGAACCTCATGACTTTCAGTTGCAAAAAAGACAGTACAAAAAAGTTGTTCCAACAAATTGGTATAAATATAGACTACAGACAATTTTTGTTGACTATTGACAATTGACAATAGTCGATTTTCTGCCAATAAACCAGCTAAGACATCACATAACAGACCTTTAAAAATACCCATATACTATCCTTTAAAGCTCAGCGAATTATTTTTCAATCTACATACTTTATGTATGAGATTTTAAGTGTTGCAAAACCCCCTAAAATGAAGTTTAACATGCCTCCAGAAATCAAGATTATTATTAAGGATAATTGACAAGTTGTCAGGACAGGTATCTAGTTATGGGAGTATTGATCTTGTGATATCTATCGAGTATTATTACTCTACTGATACAAATTATTAATATTTGTGCTGATGGCGGGTTGAGGTCCAGGCAAACAGACAGCAGTCAGAGGTGGAAGAGAACAGGAATTAGGAACATTAAAAAAACCCCATCAACAACAAGTGGCTCTGTCTACTTCAGGAATCATCAGGCCCTGGTAGCAGCCAGGCTTTGCTGATTGCTGATCAGCAGCAGGTGTGTCTCATCTGGAGGAGACAGTTTTTTTTGGTTTATCAACCTACTGTTCAGATACAGTTGAGCTGCTGAAGGCCGGTGTGAGCTGATATGTCTTCTTAGACGATGTCATTCAATTTTGCGCCGTCATTTGTTCATTGGAAACGTAAGTTGCGACAAACGACGAAGTACATTGTCACGGCAAAAATGTAACTAAACCGTTAGCATTATTAGCCGCTAAGTGTTTTTTTTTTCTTTTTGTATTTCTAATGTCAACTTAGCGTAGTACGCAGAGGAATGTAAATGAATGAGATTTCGTGCCCTGCTCTCACAAGTATTTTTGTCTACAATGAGAAGTTTTCTTTTCTCCGTCCAATTAAAGCCTCTGTTTGTCTGCCATTCCCGTCACCATAGCAACCGGCCGCTGCCGAAGGATGATTAGGGAGTGTCTTGAATAATGTGTCTGGGCAGCTCTGAGGAGAATGTGAGGATATTATCATAATACAACCCCGATTGGCTGCTTTGTGCAGTGCGGCAGGAAAAACAATGCCAACTTTGTGAGGACGTGCGTGGCGCCGCATGGAATCAAGAGGTGCAGTGTCCATCTGTCCACTCGCTGACAACTAGAATGTCTTATGCTGTGATCCCAGCCTTGATAAACAAGGTGGAGTAATGCATACATTTGTAGAGAGGTAAATAACCTTCCATTACAAAGTCATTCCTGTCTGGAATGTCACAAAGAAATTATGAAGTCACATAATATTTTAATCACATGTATTTTGGTGGGGCTAGACGCAAAACTTTGACTCGTGGGCCCTAATTGTCCTAAAGTTGAACGGGGGGCCGGGTCAGGAGCAGGAAGATGGAGAGTTCTTGTGAACTAAGATAAATGACATGTAAAAGTAAAAATGCTTTTATACATTTCTACGCCACCTATTGGGGAAACGTGGGTATTGCAGGGAAATGGCAGAAGTATAATGGTAAAATAAATAAATTGTATAATTTGGAAAAAGTTTGGCGGGCCGGATTAAAAAGCTAAACGGGCCGCATCCGGCCCCCAGGCCGTAGTTTGCCTATATCTGGGCTAGACGGCGGGGTCATAAAGATCATGTCAATAGTAGAAAACTCCATTTGATGCTAGGATTGCCAACATTGGTCACTTGGCAAGATTGAAATTTTGTGAGTTGGGAGGGACGGAGGGTGCACTACGTGGTGTTGCTACTGCTGCTCAAAGCAAATTGAATGGGTGACAGGAGAAAAAACGGGAGCAGGAATTAAAAATAACGGACTTCTTTGCAATATTATGATCAGATTTTTTTCCAAGTCTCTTGTTAAACATTTACAGCGTTGGACAATATGCTACGTTATTTTTCAATCATTCATTCCATCCCTCTCTGCATTGGCACTGCACCACCCCTAGGGGACGTGCCCCCTACTTTGTGAACCTCTGGTATAAATAATGTATATGCTCTATATTTAAACGTGTTTAGTTATAATTAAGAAACAACATTATGGTACTGGATAAATTATTCAAAAGTATGAGTTACTGTTGTATGATTTACAGCTAGATTCCCAGTTAGATGTACAGAGCATGAGGAGATGCTGTAAAAAAAACAAAGCTAAAATAGTTGTATATGTTGTGTGTTTAGAGAAATAAAAGTTTGGACTCAAAAGCTACTTATAAAATTTACATTTAAATCAGGACTGTTAAGTTTAAAAAACGTGGAACGTGAAAAACGAATCGTCCCAGTGGTTTCGGAATTGTATAATGTACAGTATATTTGCTCCTAATTTTGCACCTAAAATGCAATTGGCTAAACCAAATTAGTGTTAGCAAGAATATTTACTGATCATGACAGTCTTTTTAGTCTTTTTTAGTCTTTTTTTAGTCTTTTTAGTCTTTTTCGGACAGTCTTTTTTCAATGGTTAATGCTCTCGGATTAAAAAAAACAAACAAACAGATTTTGTTTATTTTTCCTTTAAAATTTTACAAGTGACTAGTTGTTGCAGACTTTAATTTTGACACTGAAAATTACTTTGGATTTGTGAATTAATTACAGTACTTAGCAGCATATTTGTCTGTGCGTTTTGGACCTAAGATTCAATATTTGCAACATTTTTACTTAGTCAATGAAAAACATAAATATTAATTTCAACTTTTGATTAAATATTCAATATTTACAATTGTGAAAAACCCTAACGAACTGACAAACAAAAAAAAAAACCATTGCTGCGGTTCGTATAAATCTGACAACTAAGCTCAATTTTGTTGTCGTGCTGGAAAATAGAAACGATCTCAACAAGGTTTGCATAAAGACCACAGGCAAAAATTGAATACTCTGCTGTATCAATAGTCCTTGTCTACTGCTGCTGAATGAGGCATGACCGAAAAAAAAACCCCAAAAAGCTAAATCAGGATGTACAGTACTGTAGTACGCTGACGTAAAGAGTTTTCACTGAGAACTGGTGCCTTAACATTTCAACCCCCTGAAGTTGAGAGATAAATGTCGTACTGTCATTACCTCTGCTCTCACTCATCGTCTTTTTTCTACCTTTTTTCTCCATGCATTCCTACTGTCTACATCTAAATGTTTTTCCATCCTTCCAGTTGGTTGTTAGAGTTAGAGTAGTGTCTACTATTGAGAACCTGATAACATGTATATTTCTATCTGTACAAACCACTGTATGAGTTGCTGCCACCTAGTGACTGGAGGCTTGTTATTATTCAAGCATTACAGCAGTGCTACACTTATGTCCAGTGTGCCATATTCTATTGGAAGCATCTCACCCCGCCTCCCCAAGGTTAGCCGCACTGTTTGAGAAGTACCCCAGGTTAAAGGCAGAGGTCAACCAATATTATTGGACATCCCTAGATACAACAATTTTCTTGTGACTTTACTGTACGTTTCTCATAGGTTTAGTACTCTAATTGTTTATGTACTTATCAGCTGTATTTTGGAAGACAAGGACGCCCTTGTAAACACTGGCAGGCCGTCCATGTTTCCCACTAGTTGGCAGTTCCTCCAAGTACGGCTTCCCGTATCTAGCGTCGATGTTTGGGATCTTCCGTTGTCATGGTTTTTGCTTTGTCTGAGTCCATGACCTGATTTGGTCTTTTAGAACTGGGTCCCCAACACGCGGTCCGGGGACTGGTGCCGGTCCGTAGATCATTTGATACCAGGCCGCAGTGGGACACAGTGAAAGAAGTACTTCAGTTTTATTAATTTACTTCATTCAAAAAGAATCCAGTCATATCCCTTTACTTTTTTATCAGGCAATGTTTCAAAACAATAGGTCATTCAGACTCCGATAATAACAGACAAAAGTCTAAAAGATGTTTTTGAAAATTTTATGAAGATGGCGCGGTATTACCGATACTAGCCGACCATTCCTTGGTACAAAATTGGTTGAGCTCAGATTTTGGATTCTGGTGTTGTTCCCTTTCCTTCATGGCCTGTGTCTTTCTTCTTGATATATATTTTTTTTCCAATTCTCTTGTTTTTTAAATACTTGTTAAACAGTGTAGCTCACACGTTTATATTGTTGTTGATGAAGAAAGTCTGCTATCGAACCAATCCCTCTCTGGTTATATGACGACACTTTGAAATCCCCAGTACTTATTTGACTCAACTGCAGCATAACAACATAGTTGAGTTTGATGTGACCGTAAACGAGCGTATACTACAGTACAGGTACGTACGAGAGCAGCCAGGTCGTCTGAGGTGTATATACCGTATACTACAGTACAGGTACTTACGAGAGCAGCCAGGTCGTCTGAGGTGACTGTGTCACTGCGGACGTGCTTCCTTTTGGCAGTCGTTGTGATTGTGAGTGATGCAGTGCAGCTCTCTGCAGCAGCCCGACAGCCACGAACATCAGAGCAGGACTAATTTATACAAGTAAATATCAACGCTGCAGTGTTTACTGATCATGGACGCTGCGTCGCTTCTTCTTTGAATCTGTCAACACAGTAACAAGCCTGCAAAAAGAAAATCATGTTGAAACGCAAAATGTATCACCAATTAGAGACGAAAACAAACGAAACGTGTGGTAAAATGTCAGCGAGTCTCCGACACTTTCAGATGGCTGACGCAGTATTTTTGTATCTGACCTGTGACCTCCCTGTAGCGCAGTCTGACTAGAGTAAAAATAAGCACTCCACCGTGTTTTTCCACCAGCGGCATCGGTGAGCCGAGAGCCTTGACGGAGGAAAATGCTAAATCATTGTACGGTACCTCCCTACAGTTCTGGTTCTGATCCAAGCGCAGTCTTGCAGACATCCAAAAACCGACAGGGGACGTGTCCTCTATCAGCGGGGAAACTGTTTCATGGGTTTTACCTTCAGCAGGCGCTGATGAAACTATTGCCACACTGCTGTGCTGGGAGGAAAAGCAGTTCGCCTGGTTCGCAGTAGTTGTTTGTCGTGACTGCGACTTCACATGTTTGAAAATGATTTTAGCCTAAAACTGCAAAGTCTTGTAGTGATATAATTAATATGTGTTCATTAAGATTTACCATAACTTCCAGACTTTTGAGTGCACCTGAATATAAGCCGCCTGTAACACGGCTGGTTACACGTTAGCTCTTTCCTAACGTCGGCGCCACGACCGTAGTTGGAATGCACAGAGGAGACTTAGTGATCTGCTCCAGGGCTGAAGCTAACATTAGCTCTGGGGCTAACTCCCTTCAATTTGTCCTTGTCCACAGCAGAGGTAAACAGAAACAGTGAAGTTGGAGTCTTTATTATCAGCCACTCCGACCACAACAGAACATAAACAGACAGACATACACTACTAGTATAACACACAGTAGCCTACCAGAAAAGTCAGTGATCACTAGTGGTATGAACTTCGCCACAGGGTTCAAAGGGTTAAAAAAAGTAGCAGCATCTAGTCCAGAAATTACGGTAACTTAATAATAATAATAATAATAATAACTTTTATTCATGACAATTGTTGACAATGACCTTAATGCACAGTGTGTTATATAATTTTGCCACTTAGGTTTATACAAAAACCAAATAGGTCCGTGAACAGGTCCGTGTAGGACACCATATCTAAATCTGGGCTTAAATTAAAAACTGGGACAAAGTCGCGGTTCAAACTCAATATTTATTAAAAAAAAAAAGTTGAATTTTTTCATAAAGAAACAAATTTTAGTTTTGCGGAAACATTGAATCTGGAACAACCAAAGCTTAATATTATAAATATGAAATACACATCAGTGGGATTTGTTTATTATATGTCTTTCTCTAGCTCTAGTCTTCAAGTTCCTTTTTAATGTAAATCCTTTTTTCACAGGCCAAAAACACAACCACCAAAAATGTATGCGCTAATATAGTGCATACACCACTAATACTACAAGTCCCTCCTGTCATGTCTATTACCTTGTAACTCTACAGAAATAACTTTGGGAACAAAGACACTTGAAATAAGATGTGGTAAAATGTTAACACCGTTTAACCTTATTTCCTTCTTCCTTCTAACCTTCTTCTTCTTTCTTTTTTTCATAGTCTGACAGCAATACCAGTTTCCTGCGAGCGGCAAGGGCAGGGAACATTGACAAAGTTTTGGAATATCTGAAAGGAGGAGTGGACATCAGTACCTGCAACCAGGTAAGTCATGGGCATGATACTCTTCAGTCGCTCACTTATGGGATGTCGTCATTTAAACCACACGTAAGAGCTGAGTCCAGTATCATTTAGAATAGGTTTATCAATTTTAGCCTTTCGATCTGCATGTCCCCAACGTTCAAATCCATTGTTATTGTTAGTTTTAATTAGCTGCCTCTTGGAATAGCACATCATTTGATTAGATGTAGGCTCTCCTCTTAGCTCAAGTCATCATCTTGACTCCTCCTAATCCACCCAGTCTTAAAAACAACAGCGAAAGCTGATTGGTCGACAGCAGGCCTGTGCTAGCAACGCACACAGTAACCGGCCCCGATAAACAAACGCCACATGATGAGGAAGAGCAACATTTGCCGGCAGCTCTTCGCCGTGTTGCTTTTGATGTGCACTTGTCGCCGTGAAGATATTTTGGGCGCCTGTGTGGCGCTAAAAAGTACTTTGAAGCCGAAATATCGACACAATCTGACAATTCATCACAGTGATGTCTGACTTACTCTCACTGACAAATGGTGTTTGACCTAAAGAAAGGTCTCACACAAGCACACGAGACCCCAAAAAAAAGTCTGTGAGAGCAGTCAAACCCACACGGACACTCATGAGACTTCTATGACTCAATTACAGCGATGAAGTACTCCTGCTGGTCGCCGTAGTAAATGGTTTTTAATACCCACAGGATTTATTCTGTGTCACCGCTATAATACATCCTGCTTCCTAAGCAATTATTATCTGGAGTGTGCTGTTAACAGTTGTTTTGGAACCCACTTGTGTTGCAGCTAGACGTCTAAGCTAATGTCCCAGCTCTGTTTTGATATAGCTCCAATTGCTGTGGTTCCTAGTTTTAATCCCAGGTTTACCTGTTGGTTTGTTTTTCTTCCTTCAAGGCTCCCCCTGTTTGTTCAAGGCCAAATGTGTCAGTTAATGCTCTGGCAAATGTATCAGCAACTTTGGCGGAATTTGTGAATGTCAACATGAATGAACGATCGCTAATGTATCCTAGACTTCAGGGAGCTAGTGACCTGATCGAGGCGTACCCTCCACGAAGGTGGAAGTCCATGTAGGTTCTCTTAATGAGCCTTCTAAGATAAAGCGTTTTTACAGAGAGTTCTGAAGGTACTTTACAGTTTGCCACTACATTTTACACAATTTCCTATAATCTTTCTGAAATAACTGTTTGTAACATCCTGAATCTTTACAATACTTTTTGGTGCTTTTCTTGCCACCGCATCAATTCCAAAATTTCAATCCTTTGCCTTTGTAAATAATTCTAATCTCGCCACTGTTCCACCTTAAAAAAGTAAATGCTTTCCAAACCAGTGCATCTTCAGACCAAATTACCAATTTTCAAAATGTAATCTTAATGGCTAAAATATGTTAAAATACCCTGAAAAAAAGCTCAGATTTTTGCCCTCGGAGCCTTGAAGTCCATTTGAAGAATGTCAACAATTAAAACTCCTAAAATCTCTGATTAATCACAAGGTAGCCAATGATTAAATAATATTTATGATGATAATATTTATGCATGATTAACATGTTTACACCTGTTTTTATTTTTGACTGGTCCAAAGGTTTGAATTTTTTAATGAAAAAAATGTCAGCAAAAGTATTTCAAGGTATAACTCAACATTTAGCTTCAGGAGTTGTCGTCAACAATATGAATCAGTTCCTTGCAACCAATTAGACCAGGGGTCTCAAACTCAATTTCCCTGGGGGCCACTGGAGGCAGAGTCTGGGTGAGGGTGGGCCGCGTAAGGGATTCCACAATAAAGTTTTTTTTAAAAAGTCCTCAAACGTTAACAGTTAACAGTTTTAATGATTTCTTCTGAACATGCAGTGTTTTGAACATGAATGGAACATTGAGTGAAAATCATGAACGGTTCTTCTGAACATGGCTCCTCTTGCCTACTCCTTGCTGCCAGATACTTGACAGCGCTTCTTTTCACAAATCTGAACCACATTTGGCTTGAGAGAGGAAGCAGTTGAGACCCTCAGTATGGCTTGAAGATGATCATCAGGAAGTCTAAGACCTGTACTTGGACTTATTGAAGTTCAGCTCAGGGAAGTTGGGGGGCAATTCTCTCAAAAATTGCCCATGCTTGTCTGCTTTTCCACTCATCTCCCTGAACTTGGCTTTGAGGTCAGAGTTGCATTGCAGGTCAATGAGCTCCATTTGAACCCCAGGGGGGGGCATCTTGCACATCAAAGGTAAAGGGATCCGCAAAAATTTGAAAAGTGTCTCTGTGCGTCTTGAAGTCTTGTGTAGCTTCTGTAGCTTCAAAATATCATCAACATATTTCTCTCTGAATGGTGTGCCTGCATCCACGAGTGTCTTGCATGCTGGGAAATGGCAATGGTTTGTCTGAGAGAGCTGGGCTTTCCATAACACAAGTTTTGTGGAGAATGCTCTCACGTTGTCATAGGCAGCGCTGCCCCTGGCGTCATTTCCGGTTTGTGACGGAGCGTCCTTTAACCGGGAGAGCGCTTCCCGCTCTCGAGCCAGAGCGAGAGACGCCGGTCGGGGAGTGTCAGAGCAGCTACAGGTGCTCCGTCACACGCTTCTACCTGTAACAGCAGCGTACACGATAAACAACCCGGTAACAGTCGCCGTTCTTTTTGCGCTTCATCATGACATTTGTGATAGAAAGTACGAGAGATGGCAAGCGCAAAGGCGACTGCTGTCTGGCTGTTCATTACACGCCGTGCTGTTGTTGCAAGCGTGAAGTGCACGAAGCTGGTGTAGCCTAGCCTAGCCTAGCCTAGCCCAGCCCCGACAAGGGACGGCGCGCGGGAGCTTGCTGATTGGCTCTTCGGAAGCCCACTTTCTCCGCGGGCCACACTGATATTATACCTTAATTTTAAGGTGAGGGGCCACAAAATATTGTACTGCGGGCCGCGAGTCTGAGACCCCTGAATTAGACAATTGTTTCATTCATATCATCATGATAGTAGAGCAGCGCTGTCACACTCATGGTTTGGTTCAGGGGCCGCATACAACCTAATTAGATGTCAAGTGGGCCGGACCAGTACAATTCTAATATAATTACATATAAAAAACAGGTCCATGTTTTTCCCCTTTGTTTTAATACAAAGAATTACAAACATTTTTTAATCCTAATTATATGTGAATACAATTCTTATTTTCATTATTTATAGTGAAATATAATTTACAACACATTTACTGAACATGAATTGTTTGTGTATTTTTTTTTATTTTCAAAATTCACCAAGCGGGCCGGTTTGGGCCTGTGGGCCATATGTTTGACACCCCTGTATTAGAGCAATGATGGAGTGGATACACGGTGGACTTATTGGACATACAATGTGTGTAATTCTGTCCATGTAGTAAAATGCATTGTTTGAATCTGATTATAACTATCAGATACATTTTTACTAATTAATACAATTTAATATATGCCTATTTCTGCAATTTTCATTACAAACGTTACATGTAAATATCCATGCTGACCAGCATATATATTTTGATTACTCTATAGCAGTTCACTCCCCTTATGCCCTCACAAAAACAGGGGAAATAAATGGAACCAAGATACATTTTTACTAATTAATGCAATTTAATATATGCCTATTTCTGTAATTTTCTTAACAAACATTACATGTAAATGTCCATGCTGACAAGCATATATATTTTGATTACTCTATATCAGTTCACTCCCCTTATGCCCTAACAAAAACAGGGGAAATAAATGGAACCAAAAATAGGGAATCACACCCTGACGAATTGTGCTCATATGAGGTGCTGATAGAATGAGGTAAACTATAAATTGCTGAGAGTGGAGTGGGCGGGGCCAGACGTGGCAAATGATAGGACCTTCTGAAGGTGATTGAAGGTCAGGACAGAGAGATGGTGTCAAAAGATAAATAGGACCCAAAGGGTTGGGAAGCTCGTGTGTGGGGACAAAAGTAGAAGGTGAGAGCTAAATGTTATTGGAATATACATTCATCTATGGGACACATTAGAGGGGGTGGAGTGGGACAGATAGAGGGACCTGATGACAAATGTCCCCAATTCATAGGGAACCAGGGGGTCACTGAGATGTGAGTGTAAAAATGAAATGAATAATTCACTCATCATTCATATGTCCTCCACGTTCTGTAGCTCTTCCTCCACCACTGTTGGACATCTATCAATAGCTGTCAACTCAGTTATTAGCTTTTGTACGTGTACCATTTATTTGTTTTAAAGAAGTTTGAGGTCTGTTTTGGTTGTTTCCTGTTTCTCTTCACCACTTTGGGTAGCTAATTTCTGTTGTTACACTTAGCCAAGTTCATGTTTAGCTATTTGCTATCCCTCTCTTGGGCCGTGCTACTTCCTCGCTAGCGCTAATGCTAACTGAATTCATTGTTCGTATTTCTCGTACTAAATGTCTGTCTACAAAATTCCACACAACTTTCTCATATCCATTATGCTAAACATAAGAAATGTTTGAGGTCCATCCTTTGAGCGCAAAGTCATTGCAGGTGCTAAAAGCTACTTTAAGCTAAAGCTTACTTCCTTCATGGAGAATATTTTATGCTGTTTTGAGCTAATGTGAAATTTAGTTCTAATCGTCCTGATATTGCTGTTTAATTTAACAAAAATAGAAAAACGTTTTACTGGTGTCAAATATCAAGTAAAACTGTTTCTTTTTCACAGACTGGAATTCATACTGGGATTTAAAATGCTGTATACTTTTAGAAATCTCTTTAATAACATTGAAATCATATTCATTAACGTGCAATTATATTTCCAATCAATATGACACTAAAGGAGTTCTATTAGTGTCCACAGTCGGAGATCACAGTAGTATTCATCTAAATGTCACCGTGTGTGCGAGGAATTTTATGGAAACAAACCATTTCAATTTGTCATCAAAAATATTTAATTTGAAGTTAAATGTTAACTAGATTGTAACCCAAACTGGTCAAACCTCTTAAAATTCCGTCAAACTGTAAATACTGTAACTTTCGGACTATTACCTGCTATTTTTTGTACACACCTTGAACTCTGCAGCTTAAACAATGATGCGGCTAACTTATGGATTTTTTTCAGGCTAACAACATTAATAGCACTAGCGACCAATGACTTTTCTGGTAGGCTACTGTATGTTATACTAGTAGAACTGTAGTGATCACTCTCCTTCAACTACAGTCGGGTCGCCGAAGCAGGAAGGAGCTAACGTGTAACCACCCGCATTAGAGGCAATGTTAAAAAAAAAGCATTTATTTAATTAAAATTCAAAGTTAAAATTATTTTTTTCTTTTTAAATTGAATGGGTGTGGCTTATATTCAGGTGCACTCAATAGTCTGGAAATTACGGTAATATTTTTCAATAAGTTTGTTAGCTAGCCATTTTGCGGCAAATAATAAAAATCAACAATATTTATTCAATTAATTTAAAGAATTCTGCTCAGGATATTTGTGGGTAAGTTATTATTAGGCAGATATCATCCACTTCGTTTTTGTCCTAATTTTGTTAACCTACCCAGGTTAAAGACCCAAAAACTATGATTTCTGTTAAAGTTAACGGCTGAGCTCCAAACACAACGTCCCAGAATGGAACCCAAGTCAATATTTGTTTGACGTGACAACACCCGCTGACTATTTATATCCTCATAGCCATGACTGGCTCTGTCTCATGACAACATAACATGGCACAACATCCACTGCAGCTTTAATCACCAGCTTTGGAATTTCAATCTGCTCCTCCTGTCGGAGGGAAGACCGGCTTCTCACATGATCAAAACATAGACAGACAGAAGTGAAAGCAGCCTCAGTTAGCTGTGGACATGGAGGAGGAGGAGGAGGATAAGGAGGTATCACACCTCCTCTCTCCATATCACATACTGTAGGTTGCCATGTTGTTTTGCTAACCTTGCCTTCATGTTTGTTTGCTTTTTTTCTAGAATGGTCTTAATGCACTGCACCTGGCAGCAAAGGAGGGACACCTGGATCTGGTGCAGGAACTGCTGGACAGAGGGGCGGCTGTGGATTCAGCCACAAAGGTAGGAGTTTTTTTTGTTTTGTTTTTTATAGTAATAAAACTCCTAAATACCTTATTATATACAAAACGGGCATTTTTTATGGATTTTTTTTATATTAGGAGAATAAAAGGACAGAGTCACTAACAGTAGCTAACAGTAGCTTCAGAAAATCATTTCTGAATTTTAATTGATTGTAATTAATTTGATGGGTGACATTAAGATTATTTACAATCAGATGGCAAGCAGAGAAATCTCTGTTTTATTTTTAGAAGATGGTTTTCTGTTTCTGATTTCTTTTGTGAAACTCGTTTGTTTTGTAATTTAAAAAACGTTAGCATTAGCGAAACATTACCTGATTAGCAGACACGAGTGTAATGGCGACAGTCAGAAGCAGGCTAAAAAGCTGATGAATCCATAACTCCTACAGTAGCCTGTTCTGTTACTAACCTTTTGATAAGTGCGATAATCACGTACATTTGTGTTTGCTAATAGAATCCAAGGTCAGAACATAAATATATTTGTTTTTTTATTAGCATTAATCTGTGACAGGTTTAAGGGTCCTATATTCAAGGTAGATTAAATTCCCATGTGTTATTATTATTTTAATCCCTTTTTTATTTTTATAAACAATAATGTTTTATGACTTTAGATTTAATATAATTCAATATATAGCTACTTGCTAATTAGCGTTTAGCCTTTCTGTGAGTTCCTCAGTAGTGCAGTAATGATAGTGAAGATATCCTCCTGTTCTGCAGGCTCGAGCCTGACCTCATTTATTATGAAAAACTTGGAGTATCAAATCAGTTAGTGCGGCGCAGCGAGGCTGAGGGGAAAGTAATAGGGATAGTGAAGTTGTAAACATGAAACAGAAGCGACGCTTGAGCAACGTAGACGGTGGCGACTCCTGCAACAGGAGAAGGTCGACCTATTACTGAGCTGGAGCGCTGTGATTCATGCTAATGTCGCTGTGAAATGAAACCCGTCTCAAGGTGTGTAAACACATTATCATTTCCAGTTCAACACTGTTGATGAGAAGGCCCTCAAGTCTGGCATTTTCATTTTTTTTTTTTTTGCTGTGGCTTGGGAAATTTCTGCAAACGCACATTAATTTAGGTTTAATTACAAAGTGGAAATGAAACACGAATGAATATTATTATTAAAATATTTATATTATTGTTGTTGTTGTTATTAGTAGTAGTGGTAGTATTTATTAATTTAATTATTGTTTAATTATTATTATTATTATCAACTCTCATGTCATACAGTTTTTTATATATATATAGCATATAAATATATATATACATATATATTTTATTAAATTTTTTTCCCATCTAAACATGGGTCTCAAACTCATTTGAGCAGATGGCCACTGCTGCCTCCATCATTTCAATGTACATAGGGCTACATCAGTGTTTGATGTCCGATAACAAAGTAGAGAGATATTTTAGAAAAAGTTTTTTTAACATACATACCACAGTGCAAACAACTAGTACACTTGTACTACACAATCACTAACTGAAATATTTTAGTAAATAAAAGAATATTGAAAATATACATATCTCAAGGATAAATTGTTTTTAATAATATTGCTTTTATTATAATTATTTTCTCAGCCGGAAGTTTGTGATTCGCGGGCAGGAAGAGGCCCCTGGGCCTTAGATAAAATATGTATTACACATAATTACAGTATAACACTTACAGTTGTCACTACATTTGGGTACATTTCTATTCGCTTTGTATTGCATTTAACGTTGTCAGTATTAACATTTAATCACCTAAATTTATTTGTGTAATTAATATGATCTTAATTAATATTTTTAAAGTATTTCAATGTATGAACTTATTTAACCAATAATTTCACCATCCAGCATTTCTGGGTACATTAGGGTCAGGCACCATCCATCCGCTATTGTCACCCAGCTACCCAGCATTTCTGGGTACATTAGGGTCAGGTCAGAACAGCCTAACTGAATAATCATGATTAATCATTACAAATTACAGTCACAATTAGTCCACAGGTGGCCTGTGATTAATCACATTAAGAATTTTAATCCTTTGACAGCTCAGATACAAGGTCTAAGTGTTAGCAGTATATAGTAGTAGTTACATATATACATATGTACAGATTCAGATTTTATATTTGATTCTTTGACAGCTCAGATACAGGGTCTAAGTGTTAGCAGTATATAGTTGTAGTTACATATATACATAGTAGTAGTTAGTACTTCAAACCATGGGTTTAATTTGTGAACATCACCAATGTACAGATTCAGATTTTATATTTGATTATTTATTTATTTTTGTCTTTTTTTGTGTGTGTTAATCCAGAAAGGAAACACAGCCCTCCACATAGCCTCTCTGGCTGGTCAGGGTGAAGTAGTGAAAGTCCTGGTGAAACGAGGAGCCGACATCAATGCACAGTCTCAGGTGAGTCTCCGTCGGCCACCGATGGAACTGTTCGGTACCCCTTCTAAAGTCTAGTTCCAGTAATTTTGGTTCCATTCAAGTCTAATTTATTTATGTCGGGTTTTTTTTTGAAGAATGGATTCACTCCGTTGTACATGGCTGCCCAGGAAAACCACATGGATGTGGTGCGGTACCTACTGGAGAATGGAGGCAACCAGAGCACTGCTACAGAGGTGAGAGGAGTGTGTGTGTGTTCTAAGGATGATGTGTGTAATAGACAGGAAGTAAAAAAAAAAACATTGAAAGTGTAGTTTCTCATAGAAGTACTTGACACAGTTCTCCTACATATACAATATAGCTTCTATACAATACATATAGAAGCATCTCTGCCAGTCACGTGGAAGTCAGGCGTTCAATTCCTCATTCCTCATTCCCCCCCCTTTCCCTTGGTCGATACATGACCAATTTTTTAAAATATTTGTCAGCACAAAGTGTTATCTATGTTTTGCCTATGAATCTGAAATTAAATGTTAAAACATCAAACATGTAGTTTAACTACCTAACATTTTTGACCAGGCGGGGGCAAACCTTTTGATTCATGGGCCACAATCTTCCTAAAAGTAAACAAGGGGGGCGAGTCAGGAGCAGATAGAGGGAGGGTTCGTGTGAACTAGGAAAAATGACAAGTAAAAATCATGCAGAAAGGCTGAAATGCTAAAATACTTTCATCAGTTTCAACGCCATCTATTGGGGAAACGTGGGTATTGCAAGGAAAAGGCAGAAGTATAATGATTATATAGATAAATTCTATAATTTTGAAAAGTTTGGCAGGCCGGATTAAAAAGCTGAACGGGCCTCATCCGGCCCCCGGGCCTTATTTTGCCCATGCCTGTCTTAGAATGACTCTCCTGATTTGACTGTTTCTCAGCTGTTTTCTCAGAGTGTTGTTCTTTACATGCCTGTCTCCCCCCCTCCTCTGAAATGCAGGATGGCTTCACCCCTCTGGCCATTGCCCTCCAGCAGGGCCACAACCAGGTGGTTTCCATCTTGCTGGAGAACGACACTAAAGGCAAGGTCCGCTTGCCGGCTTTGCACATCGCCGCACGCAAAGACGACACAAAGTCGGCCGCACTGCTCCTGCAGAACGACCACAACGCTGATGTCCAGTCGAAGGTACGTCTGTTCTTCGGTGTGATACAATGGGACTTGCATGTGTGCGTGAGTCAGACATACAGTACATATGGAAATGTGCTGCTATTTCTTCCTTTTTATTGATTAATAATTAAATGATTTAATATGTGAGTACCAATAAAAAATGAACTAAACTTACAGCAGGTTTTAGTCGGGGGTCTCAATAATGTCTTAATGGAATAATGTGAATAATGGAATACCTAATTCACATCTGCTGATGTGTCACGTGAATGTGACTCACGACTGGATTCCTAATTATTACATTTATTAAACAATGCAAAGGTTTAACTTTTGTTTCTTATTAAATTACGATGAGTTTTACGAGTTACAGTACTGTGCCTCAGTTCATGCCACTATTTGTTGTTGTTACTGCATTTATACTTTAATCCTCAGGCAGTAACATGTTGTTTTCAAAAGTCAAACCATATGCTGATGATGGTCTGTTTTCCGTCTGCTACATGTGTGGAATTTTAAATTTGTTATCCAACCGAAAATATTCTGACAAATTCACGTGATAAACAGGGTTTAAACTAACATCAGGAAATTAATTAATAGTATTTAGAATGCTCTGGAAGGTCAGGTTCAGAATCTAAGTTTTTTTTGTTTCTTATTGTACAAAGTTGACGTCTCACCTATTCGTCTCACCTATTCGTGCGTTTGAAATAATTTAGATAGAAATATAGAAATAAAATGTAAAACATTGGTTATCTGAGAAGTACAACAATATTCCAAATTTGAAACACTTGATCGACTAAAATGTAAAATTTCTGGGGAACTTGAACAAATTATTTGATTTTTAGTTATAGTTTTTAGTTAAGTAGATAGTAGATACAATTGGATTGACATACGTGTGCTCTTGTGGAAAGGATTAAACTTGTCCTCGAAGCCCCACTGTATATTCTAAATATATTACTTCCCTTCAACTCTATCAAACATCCAGGTACTTGTCTCGGCAGATGTGATTAGGAATCCAATAGATAAGCTGTGAATGTGTACGACGATAAACTCACTCACTGTCACTGCTAGTGAACCACTAACTCTAGGAGGTGTCTGTCTCTCCATCAGTCTGCCCATGCATCTCTCTCAGTCTTTGTCCCTCATGTCTTTCATTCAGTGCATCTGTGCCTTCCGTGTCAGTCCTGGTGCTGCCACTAACTGGTTCTCTACCTCTCTCCTTTTTTCCCCTTTTCTTTCTCAAATGCTTCCACTCGCACCCTTCCTCCCCCTTTTCCTCCCATCATCCTTTCCTACATCGATGCACCGGTGTCTAAGTGTAGCACTGTCCTCTGCATGGAGTGTACCACTGTCTGCAGGTTGTATGGTCGGGACATATGTAGTGTAATGCCGCATGTCAGTGGGTGGGACTTGTCCATTGAAGGGTTTTAATGTCTGGGGGCGGGTGGGGTTTAGGACTCATTATAGCAGAGGACGTTTGTTTTAATGTTTGTTTTAATGTTTGTTTTAACGCTGAACGAGTCGATGTAATCGACGTGGTTGGAGTGAAACCTTCATATTAGAAAAATGCGAAATATATTTTTTTCCCTGTTAGCAACCAAATGTATTGTTCTGTTATGAAATTGACCCATTTGCAGATTCACGCGTGGATGGAGGGTAATGGCATATGGGGCGTAGGCGTTGTAATGCTCATT